TATATATATATATTTTTTTTTTTTTTGATAAAATGAAAAGTAATTTCTATCGCAGTAAAATTGTAAAAATAAATAAGGATGCCAATACTAATTTTTATTGATAGCCAAATTTAAAGTTTTGCTAAAAACGTCATGAAGAATATTTGCCAAAAGAGATCACAAATAGGTCTTTTTTCTCTTTTTTGCCAAGGAATTTAGCAAAAATTAACTTTGGTCTGTCATGTAATTAAAAAGAATTATTTGCCTCTTTAAGTTTTAGAATGTCATCGAAATTTACAGTACGTGGAAAAATAAAAGTTCTTCTTTATTTAAGAATGTTATTCAGTAAGAAAGAATCACTTTTGCCACATTTTGCTTATTAGGTGAACTGCTCAAAATATCAATATTACTGGATATGTAAGTATGAATATCTAGTGTACAATAATTTATATTTATGATGAAAATGTATATAATTGTTTAAAATGTTACACAATCCAATAGAACATTAACTAAGAACAAGCATGTAATTATGATCAAACGTAGACTTATAATAGGATAAGTACATGATACAAGAAAGAGATACAGGATCTCTTTCATATGTTTTGCATATTTATTTAAATATTATGAGAAGTGTATAAAAATTTATTTTAAAATACGTTTATATTCAAAAGAAGTACAAGAAAGTTTTTCAATAAAATACAGATATGTGACAAAGCATATGCCGAATGCAATTTAAACAAAATTAAATGTACGTATTCCCTATATAAAGTTTAGTTTTTTAACTGTTAAGCATATATTTGTCTGTTTATTCTCTTACATGTTCAAAAGTTGGAAAATATTATTGATACATTTTTTTAGTTAGAAAATTAATTTAAAGTTTAGCTTCATCCAAAGCAGAACATGCAAAAATTTCAAAGAAAGCAGATCTACTAGATTTGAAATGTGTATTTTCGACGTCTGTTTAAATGTTTATATTGTCTCAGTATCTACACAACTCGTTAGTTTGGAAAAAATAGTGACTTTTAAGTTTAAATTCGGAAAATATTCTGCGTTAATTTATATACTTGACGAAAATTACATATAAAATCTGCAACATTTTTTAAACAAGTGTCTCTTATATTAATTAAATTGAATTGTTGCTGACAGAATATTATTTTTCGAAGATATTTATTAATTTGTTTTTATTCACGACTACTGCTAATAAAAATTAGCATAACAAAAAGAGTATGTGTCTTATTTGGAATCGATTCTTATATTTTTATTTTCTTAAATATATTATTATTACATTAGTGAATCAATAAATTTTTTCCAATATTTTTTGTAGCTTGAAAAATAAAGAAACGATAAACAGAATTCCCTGATTTGAATACATGTTGAAAAATAATGTACTACTAAGATCTTTAAATTTTCAAATAATGTTTATAGCAGGAATATGGTACAATACTATAATTCTCCCATTGTAATTCTATTGTTGATTAACTACTTTATCATAAAACCTTAAGCTAAATATAAGTTCAATTATTGTGTTGGGATCATTAAATTCGAAAGAGTATATAAGTTTTTTTAATATCTATGTGAAATTATAAAATATAGCTTTTTGAACATATATATAAGGTTGTTTTAAAATTTAATATATTTTCCCGTTTCACGAATATTCTACGATCATTATATTCAATATTTTTTACGAGAAAAAATGAACTTTTTAAAGTTTTATATATGATAATATTTTGTATATAAAAATATAAAGGTAATGTCATCTAAAAATTAATTTTACAAAATATTTTAGATTTTACATTTATTCCCGTATTTTGATACAAGAAATGAAATTTCTCATACATATAAAATATTAATTTTCTGATGACTTTATCTTAATCTTTTTAGACACAAAACAGAAAAATTACTGTAAAGTCGATCTAATTACACATTAAATAATAATATTTATTGATTATTAGTAATTATATATATAAGATATATGTACTAATGACCTTAAAAGTACACGATATGTATTTTTGTATCGGACATCGAAAACGTTCTCAGTTTTCAATTATCTCTCGAAACGATAATTGTATATTTTCGATATTAACAATTTATCAAATTAAGCATTGCTAATTATTACGAAATCATCTTAGGTACAAAATTTTGATACACAAGGTGAGCCAAAAATATAACATATATGTCAGAACACTCTGTGTAATTACTAGGATACATAATTTATAATCAAACAGATTACTTTTTCATTAAAATTTATTTTTTAAACAACTACCAACAAGATTTACTTTTTATTTTTGTGTTTTTCCCAATTACTATAATGGCTTATATATTTTTATTTTCCTTTTTTATATAAAACTTATAAAAGAGTTCTGCATTTATATTATACTTTTTTAATGTCCTACGGATATTTCAAACAAAAATTGGCATAAAATCTTTAAAGCTGTTATTAATTGATGGTCTAGTAATTAATTTCGCTAAGACGGATTACAAAAACTAATGTAGTTTATCATGTATCTGTTTTCACTCCAAAATATTCTCTTCGAGGAAAATTTTATTTATAACGTAATATATATATTACATGTACTGTATATTATGTAAAAGTTTCTTTCTAAAGGACGTTTTAAAATGTAGCCTAAATTATGATCATGGACGTAGTGTTGTAAATAAATTTTCTCTCACTGGTTTCGTTAGTAGCGGGATTCTCTTAAACGTCTTATCGATGATTATCGCTATCGTTAACTAGCAATGGCCAATGACAAGATAATCTTGAAAGAAAGTGTGACTGTTATTGGCTGTCGCTTAACGAGTAACAATTGTCGAGAAAACGCTAAAGAATCTTGCAACAGATACTTTTCAAAATGCAACGTAGAATATGTTCGAATAATTTAAAAGGAAATACAAAATATATACATATTTCACATTCTTCATGTTTTATTCTATATTTTTTTCTGAACTAGATGATTTTTTTACGATAAGTTGAATATAGAATACATAAATATATAATGTGAATGCTAATTTTTCCATTTAAAAATAAATACTTATTGAATTTTCTTAATTTGTTATTATTACTATTCATTAGTTTTTCTTAAATGCCAAATTTTGTTATAAAAGAAGATTAAATAAAATCTTATAAGATTTGAAGAAGAGGTACACATTTATATAATCATAAATTTATGTATCACAGAAAGATTTGAACATATTATATTATAATTGATATTCGATTCATACTAGATTGATGTTCTCATGTCGGTTAGACGTGATCATAAATGTAAGATAATGCGTGTTCAAAGAAATATAAATAAATTTGATTTTATTTTGATTGAATTTGTTTGCCGTTAAGTCATATAATATTTGATTATTTTATTTAAAACAAATCTTGAAAATAACAAGTTATTACAAATGAAGAAAATAAGTGTTATGTAATAAATTATTATTTAATTAATAAATATTTATTTAATATTTATTGTTTAATAATATTTATTAATCAATATTTATTAATCAATATTAAACAATATTATAATAAACTATTATTAAATTCACAATTGTTATTAACACTTGTTATGAATCTCTGTTAAGTAATAAATTACCAGACATTTTTTTAACATTTTTTAATGAAAATTACTATAGTTTTTTTTGTATCCTTTTTCTGTTTTTTATATACAAAATTATAATATACAGGGTTTTGCATTGCGTTTCTCAATTAAATTTTTGTTCATTAAAAAAGTTTCTACAGATACCTGAAATGAAAATTGGTATGGGATTCTTAATATTGTTATTAAATAGTGGCCTATTGCTTTTTGGTGCGGCAGATCTAATTTCTGATAAAGATTTGAAACATGAAAGCTTGTTGGAAATGGCTGGAAATCGTTTACCGGACAATATATATCCTGTACACTATATAATCCAATTAGACTTACATTATTCTATGAACAAACATATTACTTCTCAAGGCCGATGCACAATTTTTATCCAAATTAATAGTCCAACGAACAATCTAAATTTACACGCAGATACATCACAAATACATAAATTATATTTTCAAGAATTGAAAACTTTATATAAAGAAGAAAAAAAGGAAACATCATATGTGATGTTTTTTCCAGTATCCTCTACATACAATAGTAAAAATAATGTCTGGGTTTTTTATTTCGATAAGAAAATACCACCTGGTTCTTACAGTCTAAATTTGATATTTGAGTATGCAGAAGTAAACAGTGAAGGGGTTTTCAGAACGTCATTTATAAATGATGAAGGAAATACAACGTGAGTAAAAATTAAAATGTTATAAGCGGATCGATATATTCAATTGAATATTTATAATCATGTAAAATATATCATTGAAATATAACAGATGGTTAGTCGCATTAGATTTTCTGCCAATTGGAGCTCGACGAATATTTCCTTGTTGGGATGAACCAAGATTTCTGGCGACTTTTGAGATTTTTATGAATATAATAACATCTGAATATAATTACACGATTTTGTCGAATACACCGACTAGAAATACAACAAGTTATATACTTGACTTTCAAAAAATAATGCAGGTTGAGGTGACTTCTCGCATCCCGACATATCACGTCTCAGCAATACTGCTATCGCATTTCACCACAATAAAATTATTGTTTTTTGAAAGTAAGAGAATTATGCGTTTGTAAACCTTCTTAATACATTAATTAATGATTTCTTAATGAATAATTTCTTCTTGTTATCAGTTTCTAGAATATCTTTTGAGAAACTTAAGAATGTATGCTTTAATCAATTCTTTTAAATTAGTATATTCTAACTTCATGATGATCTACTTGTGTTCTTCGCCAAATAGTCTATATAATATATTTTCCACAGAATACTTTTCACTTGGTGTTTGCAATATTTTTAAAGAATTATAGATAGTGTAATATTTAGTGTTGGTCAAATCTGATTAATTTTGATGAATGAAAATAATAAAAGGACATAAAAAAGAAAACTTTCAATAGATGATTTAATAGATGTTTATAAGTAAATTTCTGAGATATATTTAATGTATGATATACGTTATATAACAGGAGCGCAGCTTGACATAAACGTCTGGCCATGCCTTCTCATTTCTTCCCATACCTTCTTCTTAATCTTTCTTGTGCTTTCTCCGATACGCGTGCAATTTCGAACGGCTTTCTTTATGTCTTCGTATGTACAGTCGGAGCCTAAAAAATTGCAACACTGTTTTTCAATGAGTTTCGGAATACAGCTTGCTCACCGAGAGATTAATTCTTATTCATCGATCGACAAATAAGAATCAGTGGAGTAATGAGTAGAGAGACTCCATTTCTACATTAAAAAAAATCGTGTTGCAATCTTTTAGACTCTGACTATACATAAAAACAATTTTAAAAATATTTTTGGAAAATAGTTGGGACATATTCTTTTATTCGGTTCTGACATTAAGATAGCGAATAATCACGTTGAGATCAAAGATACCGACACGAAGTGTCCCAACTGATTACACGACAAATTACACGGCAAAATTAGAAATAAAATTCTATTTCGAATTATAGATCGTCTAACGTGGACTTAAATTTTCTTTCTCGAGCCCCTTTATTATCTTCCCATCATAATCAATCAGGTTTTGATCAGACATTATATAAACACTATGTATTACCTGTAACACTATCTATACATTAAATTAAAAACAGCAAATTAGATAAAATGAAATATAATTTGATACTTTTTACAAAACCATTCATACCTGATGCTACTTGTAAATGTAAATTTAGTGGTTATTAAAGTATTTGATATATAGGATAACCTGAGTGAGATTAAAATAGCATATATTTTTAGACTAAATGAAGAGTAAAATTCCACCCCACTCTCCCACACACCCACACACACACACACACACACACACACACACACACACACACACACACACACACACACACAACCTTATAAATTAAAAACATATATTTTTTGGAAATTATTTTAGAAACTGTTATAAAAATAAGTAGAAAATTCTTAAGCTAAAAATATAATTTTGATATTATAGATGATATGAATCTAAACATCAGACATCGACAGCAGTTAAATGCGTATTATATCTCATTTGCATATTTTGTTGTTGAGGAAGTCACATCATATTACATATCGCAAGAGCGTCTCAAGAATATAACAGATATAACTCATGTTCTAATCCCAGGTTTCCGACACGATGCCGTTTCAAATTTGGGACTCATTTATTACAAGTACTATATTTTTCTTTTAAGGAAATTATTCTTTTAAATAGAAATTTTATTAAACAATATTTCTCATATTTTACATCAAAATCTCATTTTAATTTAATAAAAAAAGTTATAACATTTATTTTTTTTAACTTGTTTTCTTTATTTTAATTAATATTGCACTAAACAAGCCCATATAAAAGTATCATTTAGTAGTCTAATATACAATAAAATATAATTATATAATTAAGAGAGAAACGACTAAAATTTAAAACAATTAAATAGAAGAAGTAAAACCTAACAAAATTCTATCATGCTTCTATTTGAAATGCTTTTTAGAGAAACAGCTGTTATATTTCATGAAAAGAAAGAACCGTTAATGCGTAAACCAGAAATTGCGCGTTTAATAGGACGTTCAATAGCATATCAATGCTTTAAGAATCATATCAGTCCATCTTGGTGGTCTTACATGTGGTTAATCGAGGGTATTACAACATTATTCGCATTGGATGCAATTGATGAGGTTTTTATTTAATATTATTGCCAATGACAAACAATAGCATATGTATTTAGATTAAACTAATGTAGTAAAAACATGTAAAGACTCTTTTTAAATAGTTCGGATACTATATAATTTAAAATATAATTATATTATACATTTGACAGAAACTTTACTATATAAATCATCTTTAATACAAAACAGTTATTTATAAAATAGTAATAATAGTACAATGCAGTAGCATTATGCAGTAGCGTGATGCATATTTTGCTACTAATATTCGACCTAATTAATTATCGATTATATTAAAATTTTCACTTCTAGATTTTGCCAGATTTCCATATAAACGATTTGTTTGTCGTTCAAACTCTACAAGAATCTCTTCGTTTCGATGATAATTTCATTATGAAGCCTCTTATAACAGAAATAAAAACTCCTTCTGAAATTGAATCAATTTTTTCAATGTCTTATTATTTGAAAGGTAATTAATTAAATAGTCTATAAATTTTCAAACGTGAAAATTGTCGTAAAAGTATAAATTGTAAGTCTTTATTTTTACATATTACATTTATATGTTTTATAAAAGTGAAAAAAAAAATTCCAGAAATAAATTTATTCTTTATAAGATTATTTATCTTTACAAATATATACGTGAATCGTAATAAATACTTTAAATATATAATTATATTTTATAAACTGCTTTCCATAGCACCATCTATATTGCGCATGTTACAACTGATGCTCTCGAAAGATATATTTCAAAAGGGTATAACGATATATTTAAACAAAGAGTAAGTAAAACTGACATGTTATTATTTGTAAAATTATCAAATTTGTAGCACATCCCTTCCCCCCTCCCACGTATGCACGCACGTATGCACGCACGTACGCACGCACGCACGCACGTACGCACGCACGCACGCACGCACGCACGCACGCACGCACACGTGCATTCATGGAATTTATATATAATAATTTTTAATTACAAATATTGTATAACATTTGTTGAAGTGTTTATTAATAGTAAAATTATTATAAATTTTACAGTCCTTTAGATGATGTGACAACTATTGACGCTTTCTGGTTTGCTATACAAAATGCTTATGATGCTTCTGTAAACAATGTAAGATTAAACGTAGAGGAGTTAATGAATGCTTGGACAAAGCAACAGCACTATCCTGTGGTGAAAGTTACACGAAATAATTCTAACGTGACAATATTAATAGAAAATATGAATGAAAAGAACTGGTGGATACCTTATACAACGACTACGAATGCAAATAAACATAGACCTGACTTTTCTTTATTAACTCTGCAGAGTAATATCCGTTTTCCTTTAGTGGGAGAAGAATTAAATCTCAATGTTGGAAGTAATTGGATTATAGTTAATGTACAACAAATAGGTAAATATCGATTGAGAAATGTATTGTGCTTAAATATTTAATGTATATTGTATAATATACAGAAGCCACTATGCGTTTCGTGGATTATCTCTCTAGACCCATTATTTTATTAGGATGTCAATGTTTCATGAATGTTGCAGTTCATTTCATCAGAGCAAGAATGAAATAAAATATCCCATAATATATTTATTTTTTGAAATAATTTTTATATAATAATTCTATATGCAGTATAATTAGAAGAATTATATTATATTATTGAAAAATTCATTTTGTAATTTCATTTACAAAATAATAACAATTGTTAAATCTCAAAAATATAATCGTAAAGAAAATTTGGTTATCATAATATTTATCCTTACGAAACGATCAACAATTTTTCCCTTTAATACTTTGTTAAACCATTAAAAACACGAGAGATGTTCTAAATGTCCAAATTAACCCGGCCAAACATTAGTGAACTCGCATGGTACTCAGTGCCGCATCACAAATTTATTATTTAGGAGTTATAATAATTGGAGGGATAATTGGACAATCGTCGTAAAAGCAAATAAAATATTTATAATAAAATATAAAATTTAAATTTAACTATAATACTAAAATTTTGTATCTACTTTTTAATAAAATTAAAAGTCTGGTTATATGTAAGTGGAAAATTAAAAATAAGATAAAAATTAAGAGATTTGAAAATAAAGACATACTAATTTACAATCAAATATAAGAAAATAATAACAATGTTTTCATAAAATAATGGTATAAAATAATCTTTTTAATACATAGAAATAATAATTATAAATTAATAATAGTTATAATTTATTTACAACATAACTTAATCTAACATTAACCAAAAGAGATATTAAACATTAATACAAGTAAAAATAAATTAAAATGTGGGAAGCGGTTTAATATGTCGCATTATTACAATTATATATAATACAATTTTATATAAGCAAGATTTTATTTGCTTTTTGAGGCGCGCGTGGCACTTCATGTTACAAAATATGATTTTAGTAGATAAAAGATTAGTCAACTTAATAGGAAAAATTTGCGTTACAACAATTGCGTTATCTTATCTTTGAGATATTAAATGAAGACCAATGGTTGATAATAAAAAAAAGATCTGCATTATTAATGATTTTTTAGAAAAACATATTACGGTACTTAGTGCCGCGGCACCCGGAAAGAAAACATTCTATATAAATTTTTACAACTTTATTTATAATATGTTATTTTACTTATAATAAATTTATGTATAATTCTAATGTGATAATAGTAAATATAATAGAAAATAAAGTACAGTAAAAGTATTGTTAGCAAAAATCGATCAAGATTATATATCAATAATGAAAACAATTCTTGATTGTACAACAGGATATTATCGTGTTAATTACGATAAGACTTCATTGGGACAAATCTCGGAATACTTAAACTCAGATGAACATCACATAAATAAAATACATGTTCTCAACCGTGCTCAAATTATCGATGACGCATTTTACTTTTTTATGAGAAACGAAATTGATTTGAATGTATTCTTAAATCTCACGAAATATTTATGGCGAGAGACAAATTTTATAGCATGGTATCCTATGTTTAAAGGTCTTGAATACATGTCGATTTTCTTTCATTATCAAAGTAGTTCATATATGAAGGTAGACAATAATAAATTTTATCAATAAAGTATGTAAAATATTAGAATGTAATTAATTTTATATTAATTTCTTAATATCTTTAACAAATTAACATATATATTGAAATTAATATATATTGAAATAAACTCTTTTCGTTTTTAAAGTTTAATTAATTTAAAAATAGAATATTAAAAACTTATTATAAATTAATTTTACTTATTTAGTTTTGAATAGAGTAATTTTTTTCTACTAACTTTTATTATTTTCTTTTAAACATATTTATTAAACAAGTAAGATTTAAAATAAAATTATATATTTTTGTAAGAAGTCTTGTAATAATCAGTTAGCCAACATACTTTTTCGAATTATTGTGCACAGATTGTAAATTATTATACATTTCTGGTACAACGATTTAATATCACAATAGTAAACATCAAATTTAATTAATTGATTACGTTCCGTACAATTTTGAGTTGATTAATTTGCATATGTATAATATTGTAATAAATATATTTATAAAATACACACAATAATTTAAGATTATGTAATTTATGAAGATAAAAAATTAATTATACATTTTAACACATTTTTTCGAACACATACATACACACACGCATAATTGTTTTCTTTATTAATATAATAAAGAACCAACGTAAATATTATATTACTTAATAATTCTTATAGGAAAATATGTTGAGAATAGTAAATAAAATTTTTGTTGAAATAATAAGAGATGATTCGGATTATTTATTCGATATCAGTTTAAAAGAAGAGATTTCAAGATGGGCATGTATTTTTGGTTCTTTCGAATGCAAGGAGGAAGCTTACTCTAGATTAGAGATACATTTAAAAAACCAAACGTAATATGAATAATTATTTGTATTATTTTTAATTTTTAATAGTAAAAGTAATTTTCGTATTTATGCAATGCTTAATGAATTATTTGATCAAGTTTGTTGAAATACTACAAACAAAATTTACGTAATTAATCAAGTTTGTTGAAATATAAACAAAATTTACGTAATTAATTTTTATATTCTCTTTCTAATATTCTAGTGTTTTGTCTCGGTGGAAGCAATGGCCATACTATAATGGTTTAATGGTAGCAGATAATAATACTTGGTATTCAGCGTTACATAATATACATACTGGAAAATTTGATTTATCTGATTATATGTATCTTAAATTCATAGCTTGCTCCGAAGATTTCTTTATTATTCGTAATTATATAGAGATCATAAAGTCAGCAGAGTTTTATAATGAAATACAAAAAGATTATGGCCAAGTTTACATTTTTCATTTTGTCGTTGAGAGACATGCAAAGAATGATACCATGCTTGATTATATATTAGCAAATTTGAATGAAATAAAACCCAGGTATTTTTGAAGATATATCGTTTAAATTCGTAAAAAAATTTGTATATATAATAATAAATTTTTTATTTACATAGAAAAATGACTGCCGCTGTAGCATTAATAGATATTATTAATCACGTGTATACCAAGGAGCAATTGAATAAGGTTATTATAGCTTCTCATCAATATTACATTTATTATTGTTTTATTAGGTGTTGGAATTAATTCGTAGCGTTTTTTAATGAAAGAATGTTATTTATTTCACATGAGCATTAAAAAATACATTAATGAAAGTACTTCCCATCACTTGTAAAACGCTACGAATTAATTCCAACACCTAATATGTTTTATATATTTACATATATATAATATGCATACATATGTATACTAATTTTAAAAACTAAAATATTAGAAATATTTATTTTTTAAATAAAATTAATATGTTAATTACTAATAAGAATCGAAATATTTTTGTTGTTTAGATTACTCATTATTTGCATAAATATCTAACATTGCCAACTGATGAATCTGTATTTAAACATCTACTAATGAATCATAAACTATATAAACAGGTAAATTTGATGTATTAAACATATTCATTTAATTTGTCTTTATTTAATTAATGTATTTATATCTTTTATTTATAATTACATAAAAATTATACATTATACACGCACCCGTGCTGAGTGCATATGTATTATCCTGTTCTAATTATAATCGATAATTATAAAGAAATAATGTGTAAAATTTTTATTGTTTAATGTCAAATTATTATATTTATTAATGCTGACTATGTATATATGTTTTTAATTAATTCAATAATTTGTTTTAGATAAAGGCATGCGTAATACCTAAATTTCCAGATTTAACAATTTTTGTGAAACTTATATTGTTTCAACGCAAAATAGAATCACGTCTACTTGAAATAACTCAACAAGAAGAATACTTTCAGCGATATATTTAATGTATTTAATGTATTATTAATAAATTCATGTAATGTTTAATCAATATTATATCAATGTGTAATGTGTATACGTCTACCTTTACTATCAATAATGATTTATTTGAGTTATATATAATATTGCTGTTTACAATAAATAAAGTATATTCAAGAACATTTATTAATTTCTTTTAAATTTTTGTGTATTAAATCTAAATAATAATTTTTTAATTCCGGTAAAAAGTTTTCCATGTATGTATATACATCAATATGTAAAAATATGCATAAATATTCATAAACATGTATAATTATTATGAAATATATGTCCATATATCTTCCTTTCTTTTATAAAATTATTTTTTAATTTAATAAAAGTAATAATAATAATGAGAAAACATCAAAAATAATTGAAGGGATAATTTTCGTATTGTTTATTTTAGAAAAATCATAGATAATTATGTATAGTTTTAGCAATTATTTTACATCTTATCAGTCGTTTGAATAATTTCCGAAATTCATAGTGATGATGTGACTTTTACTATTAGTCAGCTAAATTATTTAATTGGATTTTCAATATAATTTTTTTAATCTGTTGTTTCCCCTTGTTGACAGAACTTTAATGGCAGAATTATTAATCTATAATGTTTATAAAAATTAATGAACATTTAATACTTTCATTAATTGCGCTGCAATTATTATATTGTTGTTAGTATTTTAACAAATGAAGTTGTAAGATATACATGAATCAAGTTACATTCATACATCCATGTAAACAAAATTAAAAATAAAATTTAATCCTTTTAATTAAAACGTTAAATTAAGTATGTATCAATTTCTATATTGTCTTTGATTTGGTGCAAGGCGAAGCAGCTTGATTTCAAAGAAACAGAATACGAGAGGTTCGCGCACTTTAAAATTATAAAATATAAAGAATTCTTTCTGAACATACATATATAGGTTGTTTTAAAATTTAATATATTTTTCCGGTTTACGAATATTCTACAATCAACATATTTATAATCAACATTTTTTATGAGAAAAAGTGAACTTTTTAAAGTTTTATTTTTAATGATATT